CTTAACGTTTTACTTAGAATGATTAAATTCAATCGAATAAAAGATGGGATTAAAAGCATTAAACGTATAAGGAAATAAATTACATTGGAAAATATATAATGGAATATAGAATAATTTGAAAAATTATATTGCAAAATAGGAGATATAGACACGCTCGTTGCATCATTTTTATTTTTGTTACGCTTTATTCACCGAGACAGGGCCGAGACGATTTGCCGGGAACGTGCAATATCGATGATCCAATCGAGGATTATCACCTCCTAAAGACAATTGACCCTTCGCCCAACGTCGAACAATTTCGATCGACAACCATAGACGATAGTGATAACGGCTTCGTACCCCCGGCGAATTTATTGGAATGACGATGTTCTCTTGGTTTTCCAACGATATTGGCGAACTCGTTCACCAGTGAAAAACCAACGAATGAAATACATTTTACACATTTTCTATTTTTGAAAACATTTCATAATTAAATACATATCTTTGAATCATTGCAATTATGCAAAATCATAATGAAACTTAAATATTTGCGCGTAAAAATCGTCGAGAAATAATTACAAATTTTGTCATCAAAATACACTCAGAAGATAGAGAATGCAATACCATTGAAATCGGTTTTTGATTTATCCCGATATCTCGATCGGTTGCCAAGATATAAAGATTCAAAGTTTCTATGGTATTTAAGACAGCGCAGCGATATTATGAATGGACCCTGACCTACGTTTTTTCTTGGAAATGCGTACTACGTTTTTCCAGGAATCGCGTCTGTCGCTTGTCTGGACTTTGGGATAGGTCAGTAAGATGAAGTGCGAGTAAGAGATCCGAATAAGCGACAAGGACGGGGATAGTAAACGATTAAAAATTACCTTTGTCTTTACACGACGATATCTCGGAAACCGGAAGTCGTATCGGAATAAATAAAAAAACATTTTAAAGGGGAAAATCCAGCGCTTCTAATGATTCTTCGCTGATCGATCGGAAGTCATTATCTTCGGAGTTATAGCGGTTTAAAATTTTTCTAATTTTAATAGGGTTAATCCGATTAAGATAAATGATTAAAAATTACTTTTTCTTTACACGACGATATCTCGGAAACCGGAAGTCGTATCGGAATAAATAAAAAAACGTTTTAAAGGGGAAGATTCAGCGCTTCTAATGATTCTTCGCTGATCGACCGGAAGTCATTATCTTCGGAGTTATAGCGGTTCAAAGTTTTTCTAATTTTAATAGAGTTAATCGGATTAAGATAAATGATTAAAAATTACCTTTTCTTTACACGATGATATCTCGGAAACCGGAAGTCGTATCGGAATAAATAAAAATACATTTTAAAGGGGAAGATCCAGCGCTTCTAATGATTCTTCGCTGATCGACCGGAAGTCATTATCTTCGGAGTTATAGCGGTTCAAAGTTTTTCTAATTTTAACAAGATTAATCTATTTTCTTCAATTAAATTATGCGTTTGATGTATTCATTTCTGAAAAACGATCTTACTAACACAATAGACGATATTATATTAATAAAAATACAAAGTAAAAAATGAACGAGATTAAATTATAACGAAGATAACAATTTCATTCAATTCTTCCTTCTAATTATGCTTTAAATTAATTTAATTAATTAAATGCCTTGTTTTTCGTTCATTTCAATATCAATACATCATCAGGTAGATGAGAGACGTCTCCCTTGAATTTGTATAATGGAATCATATTTACGGAAGCGCGTGCTTCGCACTCCTCTGTGGCTAATTTATATTCCTCTTACGCGTAACTAACTAATTAACCGACTGCCTACCATTATGGAAACCACAGATTCACTGCTGCAAAACCAGAATCTAGCCACTGAACAGCGACGCTTTCTGAACCGATTAAATTGATATATTCATATGAATTTCCATTTTTTTTTTCGTCTCGTTAACTCTCCCAATTCTAACTAAAAGTTAGTTTAAATTTTTCACGTATACAATCGTCGTTTGTTTATTGTTCCTCGTTCTTATCTGTGTATTTGTAGCGATAAAATTTCTATTTCTACCTATATTTATAATCGTAGCACTAAATCGGAATATTATTCGGAGAAATATTCGCGTATAGGAAATATTGTACGTTATCGACCGTATACGTGACATTACACAATGTATAATATTGTGGTTCCTGTGACATTTGCATACCATTTGTGCCTTCTATTTGGAAAATTTGCATCGATTTGATGGTATATGAAATTTGGTTTAAATTATACGATTTGAAGATAAAGAAGGGAACAAATATGTTTAATCTTCGCAAAGAAGTGTGTTCACCAAAATATAAAATCATTATTTTAAAAAGATTTATTAAGATCGTCGATTTGTAACTCGTAAAATTTCGTTATAGAATAACATTGATTTAATCGTGAAGTTTATTTGACAAGAGAAAAAGTTAAACATTAAATAAAAGTTAAGCTAAAAGAATTATCGGATCAAGAGCGAAACAAGCTCAAAGACAAAGCTTAACCTTCGTTCTATATTCGTTCACTTTCGTTCTCAATTATTGAATTATTTATCACGTTTAACAAGCTTCGATCGCCTCGACTTTTATTTTTATTCTCCTCAAACTCTTATTACGTGATTGTTGTGCACAGGAAAATAAAAAGAATAGATTTTATAAAAAAATATAATTTATTCATACATTTATACATTTTCGACGATTTTCTCATTAAATACAAACAAATTTTTCTCGTCTTAACTTTTCGAGAAAACAGTTTCTCTCAGAGGGTACGAATATTAATTAATCTACATTAATCTAATATTAATTAATCTGCAGAATTCATAAGAATAGACTAAAGCGTTATTGTTTCTCATCGCATTATTATTTCTTGTCAACTCTTCGCCATATTGATTCCACGTGGCTTTATCCAACTGTTAAATGGCGTCTCGCAGTTTTTTCGGCGTATACAGAGATCAGTCGTAGCACGACTTGACATTTTCGATTTAATTAACAGAGAGAATACTCAGGTTGAAGTGCTTCGAGTGATTCGAGGGTTCTTCATTCGAGACTTAACAATCCTCGTCGTATTAAGATTTTCCGCGTCCTTGGATTCTCATTGTCAATCGTGGGTTACAAATGGCTCACTTTATATCGCTGAATAGCAGTGAGATCAAAGGGAAAGTTCCAAACGAAACTTAACAGAGTACCATTACGTGCAATTAATAGAATTAAATATTTTATATTTCGATTGAATAATTAGAAATAATAATAATATATATATATATATATAGATATTATTTTAAACGTAACGAGAGATATCGATTAGGACAATAATTAATAATTAATGAGATATACACGTATTATTTTATCTTATTTTAATTTAAGAAAATTAAATAACAAAAAAAATATAAAATTCGATCTCGCTTCTAAATAATAAAACTCGCGCGATTACGCGAAGTTAAAGCAAATATTGCGAATTAAAAGGGACATAAAAATGTTTGTTTCGACCGATTAAATGTGCGAAACGTGAAAAATATTCTCGTTATTTGAAGAGTAATCGGGAATTTCGATAATGAATGGGTATGAATTTGTTTAAATTTTGTTTTAATTGTCGAACGCATTTTTGCTACCAAAAACTTCACACGCGTTTATCACGTTGCGCGCAATTTGTATTAATTCGTTTTTCAAATTAAAGAATAAATATTATTGCGCGATAAAGAAAAAATATTTAAAATGTCGTACGTATGGAAAAACTTCAATAAATAATTATTATAAAACTCGAAGTTCGCGTTTAAGGATACGATAAGCTTTAATTTTCGCCTCGGAATACAATTTTCTTCTTCGACAAATTGAATCGACGATTTCCTTCTCCGCGACGAGTAACAAGTAGCAAGGGAACAAATTATTCGCGAAATTGGTATGCTGAGTTTGCATGTCTCCTTTCATATTATCCACCATGGCACTCGTGGACATTTCGTGAAAGACGAGATCCGTGGATACGAAATTTTTTTTTTTTTCCCTCCAGTGTGCCAGACGCTTTTTACGAGACTGGAAAATGCAGTCGGAAAAGTTGAACGTCACCTTTAAAAAAGAGCACGGCTCGCGTTTGACTTTTTACGAGCAATAAGTAAGTTTACGCAGACGTTTGAATATTTTATTTTCCTTTGTTTCCTCTTTTCCACTCGAACGGGGAAACGACAGAGGTTGCAATTAATTTCTCGCGAAAAAATTCTTTCAAAGTTGAGAGAATAAGGAATTTCTAATGCCGATCGATCGAAATGGAAATATTACAAACGTGCTATGAGAAATTATTAGAAAGAATTATTATTCGAAGAGAAGATATTATTTTGTTTATGGATGTTTTAAATTCAATACTTTAATATCGATCAGTTATTTATTTTTAATACATTGATAAATAATCTCGAAATTTTTAATTTTGATTTTTATTTGCAGGATGTAGATGTATAGGGGAGAGTAAAAATTTATAGGGAAAAGATCGTTGCTATCTCTGTGATCGGTATCTCATTGGCGATACGAATCACACGATGATTTTACACCTTTGAAATATTATTCTTGCGATGATTAATCGTGCGCAGCGTTAAAAATTGCTTTAAAAAATAGAGCATTTTCTTTCGATTAAAATTTTCCTATGTAAATTGTTAATCAATCAAATTCAAGCTCACAGTTTGTGCAGTTTATACTATCAATTTATCTATATAAATTGGATAATAGTTCGATACATATTTAAATAATTCTTATCCAGGGAAAAAATGTACAGAAATGGAAGCAATTATTATTCTTCAAAATTAAACTTTTCACTAATTAATTGCATACACTTTTACAAATCAATTCAAAATTCTTCCAGGATAATATTAATTTCTCCCTTATCAAAAAAAGGAACACGATTTTTACAAATCACAACCTCTTCGAGCAAATTTTCCAGAGACGAAATAAAAATATAAATTTAGAGACGGGAATAAAGGCGAGGTATCGTCTGAATCGCAGAACTGGGATTTACGAGGACGACGTTTTATGTTGCAGGCCTCGTTTTACTCGACAGCACTGAAAACCCTGATCTCTGTGTCTACTGTGATACTGCTTGGCCTCATATTTGCTTACCATGCCTTAGAAGTTCAGGTGCGTATGAAAAAAAAAAAAAATAAATAAATAAAATAAAATAGAAAAGAAAAAATCCAATAGGCTCGATGTTACCGTCTTTGTAGCGTGCATGTAAACAATCTACCGTGGACGTTACCGCATCCACGAAACGAGGGTGGGGAAAAAAAAAGAAAAAAGGGCGAAATATAAAAGGCTCCGCCGTTTGCACACATCTGTGAGGTTTCATTTCACGGAAACGGAACACGGGTAGACCGTCTTCCACGGCGGAAGAAATATCTCGATCCTCGTGCCGCTCTGTATTATGCAATTCTGCTTTTACTACACTTTTAGCCAGCGTTCCCTGTGTCACTGATAAATTTCTTAAATAAACTCGGCGAAATTTTTATTTCCCACTTAGTCAACTGAAGTTTGCATGCATGAAAGGCGAGATTACTCGTCGAGATTCGTCGCGATTATTTTATTTTTCGTAAAATATCGACCGATTTCCTTATCAAATCACCGTTTATTCACGGATGCATATCCTTCATATAAATATAAATATAAAAATGAGATGAGAAATAGAATGAAATTGTATTAACGTGAAATTGTATTATATATGAATATCGTAATAATTATTATCAATTATATTAAATTATAATTAAACTATATACAAATTATGATTAAATTATTATGACTATTAGAGATAGGTAGATTAATAATTGCTTCATTAATAATATATCGCTATTATTCGTCATTTAATGCAATCGAGTTTATCTAAAAAAAAAAATCCAATATGATTTGATGATGATATTATAGAGAACATTATGGAATAATTTATATTCTCAAATTTCTCTCGTAGCCTGTTTATCATCTTTATCCCTTCTTCTTATTATAGAAATTCTAACGGAACGTGTTCCAAAAGTGATCATAAATCAACTTAAAAGAGACGCTTACGAGCATCGATCGCGCCAATTAGAATGTTTCCAAAGGCGTTTCCGGCTGGATTGCTTGTACGGTTTCTAATTGACTGTAGACAGCAGGTGTTGGAGCGCAATCGAATCGTAATCACGTGTGCAAAGATTCCAGTGTCGACAAGATCATCGAGACTCGCCTCTTTATTTTTACTTTTTCTCCCTCTCTTCTCTTCTCTAAATTCTTACAGAATATTTATTACACTCGTTCGCTTGGACAGAAAATTAGAAGAAAAATCGATCAACTTGACATTTTATTGACGATAAAAAATAATCGCGGTGCTAAAATTTCGTTAGAAATAGAATAAACGTTATTTCATTACATTTATCTTTCTTATTTATATTTTTCGCCTAGTTTTCGTCTTACTTTCTTTTCATTTCAATGGATAATCTAATCAGACTAACTTTTCCTAAAGCAATCAAAAGAAGTCGAGAATCTCGAGCGTACAAAATCGAGCACGTACGTTACTCCTAATCTCCCCAATGATTAATCGAGCAATTGATACAAAATTAATTTTCTCGGTTTCCGGCTACTTTCTCTTGATTAAATCTGATTAATGACCGTGAAATTCCACCGGCACAAAAGTGATATCGAGGGGTGGGTCGACGCGCAGTGAATAATGAACTGTTAGCGGGGCGGCAAGAGAGAACTTTCAATGACTGGCTATCGAATCGAATTGAATTCTTCATCTTCAACTTTTCAACCCTCTCATAAAGTATCAATGTGATTTTTCAACTATATCAATCTCTATCGTTATACAAAAATTAATTACTGCTAACTAGAGATTAAGAATTTATTTGCTTTAATTATTCGTCTGTTCACGAAATCAAATTGTTTCGTATTAAAAAGAAAATTGAAATAAATAACAATTCCTCTTTAAAAGATTTCATATTATATATACTTAATTTTCATTATATACATATCAATTTCTATTTATTAATTAGTTATTTCTTTACATTATAAAAGAATTTAATTATTACCTATGATTACCTAGAATGAGAACAAGGATTGAAATAAATTACAATTCTTTCAAATTTAAGGATTTCAATCGTTAACGAATAAAAAAAGAAACTTTAACATCGAGATTAATGATAATCATAATTCTTTCAAATCTCCAGACACCCTCGCATTTTTCAACACAATTTCCAATCATCCACTTCAATCTTGTATTCAAATCAGATCCGATTAAAATATCCCCATCGAACGAAACACGGTGGATTTTATGCCCGAATCAATCACTCGTGAACCAACATTACCTGGCCATTCGAGCATAACCGAAACACAGGTGAATCGCGCGCGTTTATTGTAAATCCATAACTATATGACAATAGGCGGGAGTGACTCGTTAAAATTCTCGAGCCACGTCGATCGCGTTGGCTGCCATGAATTTTCATGAAGGACCATTTTATATCCATCCTCCTCCACCATCCAGACTAACTGTAACCGACGATTTTATGGTGGCTTCGAATCGTTGGCGGTACATTTCCTCGCGTTATTAACGCGAACCGTGATTATTTCCACCGGATTTTCCGTTCCTCTGTTCCGAATCTGTAAAATAGAAGTCCGGTTACAATAGTGGTATACATCCAATGGCATTGGCTTTTATAGTATTAAAGCAAATCGCCTTGCTGCATTGTTGAACCAGTGTCCATTCGATAAAAATTCGACTGTCATCGCTGTGTCGTGTCGTTTCTATTGCTTTTGATTCGAGGATGGATGGAAATACAGATTCACTTTATGCTTTGATAAAAAGAGATACTGGTTTCGATGGCATGATAAGAATGAATTTGGATTGGACTTTTTTTTTTTTTGTTAATTTATCTCCTAGAAATGAAATGATTTTCGAGAAAATTCAATTTAGAGATGTAAAAGTAGAGGATTTAAAAAAATCTTGTGAAGATTATTATATTTTTAGAAAATTACAAAGCAATTCAAATATTTATAATTAACATTTCTATATTCTATATCTTTATCTGATTTCTTCCCATAAGTTTTAATTAGTATTTTTGTCAAATTCATTTTTATGTACAATAAAAAAAATTTGCTCCATACATTTTCTATTATACCTTCCATCATCATATTTGTCACAAATAATCGTAAATTTACGATTCCATGAAACTCAAAAAATGATATTTCATACCTTGAATTTTTCAAATTGTGACCATTTTTCTTCCTATTCTTCCACAACGTTTTTAAATTTATTTCCAACCAACGAAAATCCGAATAAACATGTTTTTTTTCGACCGATTTTCTTATCCATTTATCGAAGATACTGCTGTAACTAAAAAATAATCGCACGATAATCTTCATAGAATCATTTTAAACCCTCTATTTTTACATCCTTAAATTGAATTTTAAAAATGACTTTATGCTAGAAAAAAAAATAAAGATACATATTTTTCAAAAATTATATTGAAAAGTGAAGTCTCGACACGAGTTATGCAGGGATGGCGGTATTACGCTGGAGAGGGAGGAAATGCGCAGTGGCGCGCGATAACGCAATTAACGCGTGGGTGCGTTCGTCATCGCGAATAATTCGCAATTTTCTCACAGGCGTAGTGGCAATCGAGTTGACCGCGCGATTCTCTATAATGCGATAGAAATTCAACCGCGTGAAACGCAGCTGTTACCATATTTATGCATCGTAATCAAGATATGGACCAGCTATCGACCTGGTTACACCGATTATTAAACGAAATTATCGGGGCCTAGCGAAATATCGCGAGCTTTTCACCCTTGTTCCAGTCACGGATATGATGCGTGCAACGTAAAAAAAAAAAAGTACAAAAAAATACGATTCGAAGTTGTGACGATTAATTATCGTTGTAATTTGTAACAGAAAATTTGAGTACAGACTGAATTTTAATCTGTAAATGCAAAAAGTTTACATACAGGTCGAATATAGTTTCGAAGTAAATTTAATTGAATTATATATATATTCCTTTTTTTTTAAATAAAAGCATATGGTTAGTTATTTAGATGCAATTGTTACGAGAAAGTGTTGAAGTTCTTACATGGAGATATTTTAATCTGTATTTTATAAAACTTGTTACACAAACTACAAGGAATCGAAAGTGATATCGAAATTTTTAATCGATATCCTAAATTTTCATAAACATTTATTTACAAATAGCTTGTACCACTTTCCTTTACGATCTTTACAAAAGTTCAATTTTACGAATAATTTACATTCACAGTTTAAAATTGAAACACCCTTTAATTTACTTTAATCCGCCCACCGCTTAATTTATTGTTCCTTCGATTTAATCCATTTACGGATTATTAAATTAAATATCCTACACAAACTTTGGATGCAAAGCTCTCCCTCTCGTATATACTCGATCGTTCCACCCCTTATCGTAAGCCTGATGAATCCTCGCCGAGTAATCGGCGATAGAGGCCGGCCGAAAACAGAATTCATCCGTAAGTGGTATAAGCCGTCATAAGTCAGACACGGGGATCCGTGGCGAGCGCGATAACAGGCCGAATTTCTTCGGATCCCCATCGTGCTTAATCTCTGGGCCGTATATCAAGCAGAATGAATTGCATTATCCCCGGTGGTCGCTCGTTTAACAGGGAACAGCTCGAGTATCTCGGCCGGCAATGGTCAAACGATACGCGGGCTTTGGCTCGAGATCTGCGATTTCGATTGCGGTCGAATTGCAGGCATCTGAGAGGCGGACGTGAAACCGGAGTATCGAGGGGTTAGATCGAGGAGGAGGGATGATAGCGGTGGTTTCGAGGCGGATGGTTGAATTTAAGTAGGTGATTGTGGAAAGAAGCGTGGCGATTAATTTAATATTGGAATTCGATCGTGATCGTGAATCGGTGGTAACCAAGCTACCGGTGAAACTTCTTTTTTATTCCACTTTCATTCCACATACGTGAAATATCCGATAATATTTGTGTAGAACAATAATGTAAGTATAAATAGGATAAGATATAATGTGTTATGTATGCATAGATATACGAATATAAAAAAAATAATAATAGAGTAAATAATAGCAGAGAAAATAGAATTATGGTTAGATTTTAAAAAAGAAGAGTATGAAATATAAGGCGTGTAAAATATTCAAAATCTCCGGTATCTCATTTGCCTTTGAAATAAGATAAGTACATCCTAATGGATAATTCACCCTAATTTCCTTAATATAAACTAGTTGAGGAGTTCATAACTCTCAACTCGAAAGTTTATGCATCCACAGTGCATTCGCTC